TTTGTATAATTCACACAATTCTGATATAAGAGCCTCAATAATGGAAATGAAATAGACAACAGAAAAATAAGAATAAATAGTATTGGTTAAATATTTAAAGCCAATGTCACACAAAAGCTGAAATTCTGTAGGTAGACTATGTATTGATAAATCATCTATTTGGCCTAGGAAAGAAAAATTTTTAATTATTTTATTATTTTAACTCTTTAGTAAATTTTGATAATCTGTTTCACTTAAACATCTTAGAAGCAGTTTTTCCATCTGTAAATGAAATGACAATAGTGACCAAATAGAATTATGAGGATAAAATAAAGTACCTAGTACAATGTAGTAGGTATTTGCTAAACACAAGTTCTCTCAGAGCTAAGTGCTAATATTCAATTTCTCTGTTAAAATGGGAGAATTAAAATCTCTCACAGAATCCTCCTTTCTTATATCTAAAGATATGAACCAAGTTTTTTAAAGCAAAACCTTGCCAAAAAATCAACAAACACAGCCAAACCAGGAAAGGGGGAAAGCCAATGCCGTAAACCAAAACCGGACAGCCAAGGAAACAAATAGGTAATTCTGAGCCCAGAAGAATAGATCATTTTGTAAGGCTCTTAAACCTATCCCTAGAACTCATATTAGAGATGCAGAAAAATGTTGGAAAATGTCATCATTTCTGTAGTGAGACCACAAAATTAAACTACACCGAAGCTCATAGTTTCAGAAAAAATGCACTGCTTTGTTCTCACACTTGAGATTCCACCTGGGCTCCCAAAATGCTATAAATGTCCAACCACACTTAAACCATATTTTAATCCAATAATTCAAAAGGTCTCTGTATCTATCAGGGTTTAATGGAAAAACCAGAACCCATTCTAGGTATGTTAAACAGAATTTAGATACAAAATTCCCGGTAAGGCTGGAAGAGTGGGCATCAGCAAGGCTCCCATTGGTGCCATTGAATCCAAGAACACATCAACATAGCTGCAATCCAAAGACTGAGACAGTGACTACCCCAATCACTGCTGATCCTGCTGTCCCTACCACTAACACAACTGCCTCTTCACACAGAGCTGGTAATACTCGAATTGTCATGCTGCTGCCATAAGTGCCTCTTAACACAGTGTCTCTGTTTTAGACATAGCAGCAGGAAAATGATCTCTACCTTTCTTCAGTCAACCAAAATATGTGTGAGTGCACATGATCCTGGCTGTAAAGAAGATGTGAAATGTTGTGAGCTTTGCAGTCTCTACTTTCCAGGAACACACCAATGAAGCGGGAGTTGAACAGAGGTTGAGCAAGCCAATCTACAGTATCCACCATAGGTCCATTTCAGTTCTACAATACATGGGCCATGTCCCTCATAATCCACCCCTTTGGTGACTCAATGCCCATAAGTGTTTGCCTCTTGACTTTTTTTATTTTTTATTTTTTTCAACGAACGTTTATTTTTTTTGGGACAGAGACAGACAGAGCATGAACGGGGGAGGGGCAGAGAGAGAGGGAGACACAGAATCGGAAACAGGCTCCAGGCTCTGAGCCATCAGCCCAGAGCCTGACGCGGGGCTCGAACTCATGGACCGCGAGATCGTGACCTGGCTCAAGTCGGACGCTTAACCGACTGCGCCACCCAGGCGTCCCGCCTCTTGACTTTATTTAGTCTATGGCAACAATGAGTCTTGATTCCCGTCAACAATCTGGCAAACTACTGCTTGAGCCAGCACACTGAATCCAGAAACCTGTGTTAATTAGCTGTGCTCAAAGTTATAGTCCCTCCTCCTAGTATAGTATACTTAGAAATTGTTCCCAAACAATTCCCTTGAGTTTCTGCTTATTTAAAATAGCAAAATCTTTTGGTATGTAGATCTTCTTTTTCTGAGTCCAACTTGTGCTTGGCTTCTTGGGTGTGTTAGGATCTGACTCTAGTTATAATAGTCTGGGAAGCAGAAAAGAATACTCAAAATGTGGGGCCCTTTGAAGAGACCTCGAAAGTTATTTACCTCAAGTAAAGTAACTAGCATGTCTCCAACAGACTACAACCAACCCTATGGGACAGGGAAGGGAGATGTTTTTGCAGACAGGAAAGGTTCCATGGGATGGACATTCAAAGGATTTAAATTCAACTCAACGTACTCAAATGTCCCATTATAATTTGCAGGGCTTCTCTCCTTCCAAATCAGTGTCCTAATGTTCACTTAAAAGAGATAGCAAAACATGAATTCAGCTTATGCTGTAACCTTTGTAATCCACTGGATCAGAGTCTATCAGATTTGAGGTTACATCAATCCTGAGATCACAAGAGATAAAAGATTATCTTAGAGTGATCATGGAAGCTCAGTAGTTCTCTGAACTTTTTCATACCGATAAGCTTGAACCAAAACCCTGGGCTTATCATTTTCTAGCTTTAATCTCCCCAGGACATCTCCATAGCTATCTTATTCCACAACGCTAGAAATTTCTCATTTTCATTCTAATGATTTACCATAGCAACTACTGTGCCAGAGTGTAGCCTTCTAAGAGGCACATCATAAGGAAGCCATAAGTGATCATTGAAGTCACTTCTTTGTCACAGTGTGACATAAACTTTGAGAGTCCCATTTTCTAATAGTAACAGTATTGCCATTATCTTCAACACCAACCAGTTCAAATCATCAATCTAATGTTTCCATCCTTGAGAGCATTATCTGCAATCCCTTCTAGAAGGAAGAAACAGAAACCACTCTCGTTTGGGGGGGGGGGAACTTAAGAAAAAGCAGATTTCATGCTAGGAAAAAGGTGTTTATAGAATCACTGTTAAGGCTATAGAAGCAAGAATCAGGAGTGGAGAAAAAATCACCATAATTGCAAGCCCAAGATCAAGAAGTACTAGTGACATTCTGTCACTGTCACTAGTACTGCTAATAATCTCTTTACTTGTGAAACTGAACCCTGAGACTGGTTGCAGTAGCTGCCCCAACTCCCACTATATACCCACAAGACTGGTATCTATAAACTTCCGATCTCACATGCGTGCATTCAAATGGAAGAACTTATCTGTAACAAGAACCCTAGTTGCTAAAGGTATGGAAAACATAGATTTGAGCTACCAACTTCTAAAGAAAAAGAAAGCATTCTAAACCCAGTATAGAACAAAGGAGAAACAAACTGCACAAAATCTACCACGGACTCAATAGCTTGTAGTCTCTATTTGGCTGTATAACCTCAGTCTTTCCAATTTCCTCCCATTCTTCCTGTTTCTCTAAGATACCATCCTCATGGTGTCAGAGGCTGGGGAGGCACCTTGAACTGATACCTGGGTATTCAGTGGATGGTATTTTCTGTTTCTAGGATGTTGTTCCTGGCCATCTAGTTACTGGTACCCATCTGGGTCTCATGCTGAAGAGTGTGGTTGGTAAACTTGAGGGCCATCACTTATCTCCCTCTGAACTGAGATCTCATTATATTATTTTGCTACTTCTATTTTGAAATCTTCTGTAATAGACAAGTTTTAAAACTAAAGAGGCATGCTAAAGGAAGAATATTTTAAATACAATGTTTAAATAAACTTGTATTCAATTTTTCACTTTTAGTGGGATTTCTAAAAGCAAGACTAATTTTACAAGTATAAATAGCATTTATGCTAGACTTAATACTAATTTATAAAAACAGGAAAATTTTGGGGTGGCTGGGTGGCTCAGTCGGTTAAGCCTCCGACTCTTGGCTTCAGCTCAAGTCATGATCTCATGGTTTGTGAGTTTGGACCCTGCATCAGGCTCCATGCTGACAGTGCAGAGCCTGCCTGGGATTCTCTGTCTCCCTCTCTCTCTGCCCCTCTTCTGCTCTGTCTCTCAAAATAAATAAACTTTAAAAATTTTTAAAAAAACAAGAAAGTTTTATAGGTTTTATCATCTTCTCATATGTTTATGCATCCTTAAAGAGTCTTGGCAACATTCTGAAAAAATTTTAAAACCTCTGGAAAGAATCTCTGGAAGGCTTGTACCATCTGCAAAGATGTCCAGAGAAGTTGCTCCTACACCTCCATGCAAAGTCCATTCTATCACATGATTGGCTTCCTTGTCTCTTATGTTTAGTATTAACTAAAAGGTCATAAGGAATTTTGTACGGTAAAATTATTTCTTTGGTTTTCTCCCCAAAGAAGGACTTTTATAATTTTTATGTTTTTTAATTTTGTTTATTGTTTATTTATTTTTGAGAGGTAGAGACAGAACATGAGCAGGGAAGGGGCAGAGAGAGAGGGAGGCACAGAATCTGAAGCAGGCTCCAGGCTCTGAGCTGTCAGCACAGAGCCTGACGTGGGGCTTGAACTCTTGAACGGTGAGATCATGACCTGGGCCAAAGTCAGACGCTTTACCAACTGAGCCACCCAGGCACCCCAATTTTTATGGTTTTTGATACAAGAGCTTAATATCAAAATCAGAAAATATAAATGAGAAAATATGTAAGCACTCAGAAGATAATTCCTGTTAAAACCATCCATGACACCATGGTGCCCTTTAAAAGAGAGAACGAACGAACGAACGAGCAAAAGAAAGAAAGAAAGAAAGAAAGAAAGAAAGAAAGAAAGAAAGAAAGAAAGAAAGAAAAAAGTAAGCAATATGATCATGCTGGTCAGGTTCTTTTTTTCTTTAACAGTCATGATCATCTATCCATGTTAATACATCTCCAACATCAGTTTAAATGATAGAAGAGAGAATCATAATTAATATGCTAGGAACAGTATGCTGTGTATCAGTACTTAAGAAAGCACTGTTTCTTAAAATGTGGTTCAAACACTACTTGCCAAAGAATCACCTACAGTGCCCATAGTGGAGATGTGGGGACCCATCTCAGACGTGTGAAATCAGGACCTCTAGGTGGGGGCCCAGAAATTTCCATTTCTCAACAAGCTCCCAGATGATGCTTGTCTCTCTTGTGACAATCACCTGTTTATTTTAAAGAGAGGACCTATTTTTCCCAACACACCAGAGTATTTCTGTTTTCTTGAATTTTCTGCTTTCTGATTTTTATTTTAGGAGACAACAATGGATGGCCTATACAATTTGACAAATACTTTGCCAGTTACTACAAAATGACTTCCTTGTATCACTTTGAGACACGAACATCTGAATGCCGTAAGTAATCAGAGGGATTGAGTCTCCTTTTCCATGAGTTCATAATAAGATATCATGTTTTTAAAAGTTGGATCCAACATATTTTTTAAAAGGTTAATTATAGTTTTCTAACTGCAAACTCTATCAGACATGTAGCCTTAATTTGAGAATTCTATTCAAAAGTGACTCAGGGATCCCAAGTAAAAAAAACAATACATTATGCCAGATACTGTTATGAACAAAATTAATGTCTGTCAGTCAGGGTTGCTATTATATGTCCCTTTTTCACAATCACTATAGACTCTGATACAAAGGGAACTGTAGAAACAGAAGGGCAGAGAAGCTGTTTGGATTTTAATGTTTGCAAGTGAAAAAGCTTCTGGGGTCTAAACTACTTTAGAAATACAAAAAGGTCTCATTAATACAAGAGCTATTAATACAAGAGCTATAACCTGCTATGTTTAGTTCCATACTGAAAACTTCCAACACACAGGAGGGGCTGTGGGAGGGTATGACCTCAGGATGGACTCTGCAATATTTTAGAACATGAAGATCTTGTCAATTTTTCCTTTTAAATAATTTGTGTTTATTCTGATAAATTATGCAAATGTAAATTTGTGCCAGGGAGTTACAATTTGATCTTAGCTCTGCAAAACCTTGGTTAAATAGTTGGGGGTGGGAGTGGAGAGAATCCTTTACTACATTATTTCCTTTATGTTCTATTACAAGTTGTAAAGTATAGTTTTTTTCTTAAGGTTTAATATTTTTTTTTGTCTTCAGCATTCAGATGAGAATAATAAAAAACTACTACTAACAGTCCCCAATTTAAGGACCATACTTCTATCCTGCCAATCCACAGATTACAAGCAATCTGTCTCAGTCTAACATTTTCTCCTTGTACAGAAACCAAATTACTCGATCGTTGAAAAGCTAAAACTTTTTGAGAATGAAAAAGGTAACAGGTATAATTTAACTGCTAATAGAATAAAAACAAAAAACAAACAAAAAAAAACCTAATGAATTATGCCATGTTATCTCAAAACATGGATTTTATTTTTTTGTTTTATTGTATAGCCTTTCCTGAGTCTACAGACTCAGAGGCTACCAGCACTAACTTGCTGGTGCATTACTTATCTTTTTTATTTTAACATAGTTGAAATATCCTGTAAAAACCATTTGTATCATATTTTCACTTAGCATTTTGACATAATCAGGTATCCGTGCTATTATAAGCTCTTTTTGAATATACTATATATTTTTAAGTGTCATAATTTGCTTACTCATTCTTTGATTGTTGGATATTTTGGTGTTATTTTTTTTTCATTTTTCCCTATTACAGGTAACCCTGTAATCAACGTATATGAATTATTTTAACTCTGTCAATATAAAGAGAAAAAACACACTTCAAGTAATGCTAATTTCACTCCCTCCATTTTAACCCTTCCTAGTCTCACTCTCAGAACCTTCATCTTCTTTCCCAACCCACACCCTTCCTTCCCCACAACACTCACGTTAGACATGGCTGTAACTTGGAGACAGAATCCATTTTCAGAGATCCATAGCCAAAATGGTTACTTACAACCATAAAACTGTTTAAAAGTTCTTGGCGGAGACTGTTTACAAAAAACACAAAACCTAAGTTATGATTTTGATCTCTTGTAATCCTATAAAATAGTCTGCAGAGCTATTTGGGAGGAGAGGTAGAACACCTGTCATCCCATAGCTGAGCAAAGGGAAGTTTAGTAGGTCAAAGTCATCCACCACCTTTGTCATGGAAATCTCTAGTTTGCATTAAGACACTTTTCTACTCTCTGGAGGCTTTACAGTAAAGGTAAAAAACTGGAAGCCTACAAGCAGAAAATTCTCATAGAAAGTTTTCTTTGTTCTGTGATGTTTTAAAATATTTTAAGTTGGCTATTATCATTTTTTAAAATAGGTACATAAGTACCTATGTATGACATTGTATTTCTGGCTTCTTTGAGAAAGTTGGTTGACTTGGCTACACATGTTCTTATCCTAATATGGCAACAGTTAGGAGAAGCTGTTCCACTAGGACATCTGGACAATGCCTACACCTATTTTGCCAGTCCCCTGGACATAAGAGTCTGTACCTCTACCATACAGGTTAGGGTTTCAAAGTAAACGTAGAGGGAAAACACTCCTCATTGTTCTCATTAATCAACCATTCCTATTGTACTATTGAGCTATACGAACACATCATTGAAAGTCTAACAGACATTAGAACTATGAGGTCACATCTTTAAGACCATCACTACAGCCCCACAAGATGGCTAAAGGGATACATTCAACTCTTCCTCTTCCCAATGGCAGCAGTGAGAATAGAATGGCTGGCTATGCATTAAAAAAGTTCACTCCCAGGGGGCCTGGGTAGCTCAGTAGGCTCAATGTCTAACTTTGGCTCAGGTCATGATTTCACAGCTCAGGTCATGATTTCACGGTTGGTGGGTTCAAACCCCACATCAGGCTTGCCGATGTCAGCATGCAGCCCACTTTGGGTCCTCTGTTCCCTTCTCTCTCTGCCCCTCCTCCACTTGTGCCCTCTCTCTCTCAAAAATAAATAAAACATTTTTTTTAAAAGTTCACTCCCATAAATGACATTTTTGACATCCTTACATCCCTATGTAATCCAATCCAAAAGAAGATCATAAAAAATCCTTTAAAGAACTCCTGAATTTTCCAGAAAAAAAAAAAGAACTCTACCAACACTATAATTCATGTTTAGTTCTCCTCTTTCTCGCTAGTTAAAAATGACTTAGTCTTCCATTAAGGGTTAGATTATGCTATTAATAAATACTTTATTTTTTAATGTTTTATTTACTTTTGAGAGAGAGAGAGAGAGCAAGCATGAGTGAGAGGGGCAGAAAGAGAGAGGGACAGAGGATCTGAAACAGGCTCTGCACTGACAGCAGCAAGCCCAGTTGGGGGCTCAAACTCATGAATGGTGAGATCATGACCTGAGTCGACGTCGAGGCTCACCTTTACTGAGCTTCCACCCAGGCACCCCGATAAATACTTTATTCTTAAGTAGCAGCTTTGACATGGACATTAAAGCCCATCACACACTGTCAGTCATGTGACCCCTGGACATAACCACTCTCCTTGTATGAGTAAAAGCAGATGACTTCATTCATTTTTGCAGCAAATGGAGAAGAGTAGTCTGCTATTTAAAAAAACAAAAAATGCGTGGGTTCGTAAATTGTATGTGTTTTCTCATCTTAGTGTTCTAGCATCATTTTAACATTAAATTAAAAGCAAACTTTGTAAACTTAATTTAAAGCAGTGCCCAAATTGCTTAGGTAAAACAGGACATACTTTTGTACTAAATAATTTTCTCATAGTTTCTCATTTCTTTCTTTTCATTACCCTCCTCTTCCTGGTCCCTCACTATCCCCATTCCTTACTACTTCCTCCTTATTCAGTGGTCGGTTCTGTGCCCGTGCCATGTCTTTGCCGAGGTTTAGAGGTTGACTGTGATGAGACCAATTTACGAGCTGTTCCATCAGTTTCTTCAAATGTGACTAAAATGTAAGTAGAAAAGAATGGCTTCAACCTGACAGCCAGAATAGCACCTGGAAAATTGTATCATACTTAAGGCCTTGTCATTATGAATGCATTTTTATTCAAAGATGATATCATTGTTCTCCATCAATTATAATGATTGCTGATATTTATTTTACATTTAGTAAATGCTAGGCCCTACTCTAAATTCATCTATATATTAATTTATTTGGTCCCTGATAATAATCCTATGAAGTATTTAGTGTCTCCACATTTTACCTAAACAAAAAATGTCATCATTTATGTGCAAGTAAAGAGAAAAGACTGCCAGTTAAACTATGATATAGAATTTTCTTATTACAAGAATGGACATTTATTGAAAGAGTTCTTTTAGACTTTGTTAGAAACATTCCTATCTACAAACAAGCACAAAAAGAAAAAAGAAAAAAGAAAAAGAAAAAGAAAAGAAAAGAAGGGACAAAAACTGGATAAAATATTCCTAGAACTTCACATTTAAAATCTAACTCTTCTGAATCACATCTGACTGAGAGAGGTTGCTATTGTTTTTTTCCCAAGTAACTCAAACTTATATATATAAAAGAAAATTATCTTCACAATAAGTGGTTTGTTGATCCAGTAATAATTCCAATTCAACAAACTTTAGGAACACAGTCACACACATTTGGCTGAAACTTTTCAAAAGCAATCAGTGGAGGATAGATATTTTCATCCAATATTTTTGCTGAGTTTTTTGTCTCACCCAAGTGTTTTAGTGCCTTATGGTTCTGACTTTTGAGTATATGAAGACAAAATCGGAGTAATTCTTAAATTTACAAATACGGGTAAGTCCTGCCTTTGTCAACCCAAACCACATAACACAGCAACTCATATGCTTGAAGTATAAGAGGTGGGGAGAGCTAGAGTTCAGAGTTCCTGTGGATAGTGGTGCCATCAAATTAACAGAATCTGGGAGGGTTTACTCAATTGATAGTGACCTGAGGAGTTTATTCAACTTGGTAATAAGCTAAGAATATCAAACGGGTGAAACCACAAAGACTTATTTTCCAAGGTAGGTGATAATCCCACCTGAACTAAGGCAAGCATTCTACCCTATCCCCAACTCACCTCGCTCTTTCTCGATAATTAGTATTTTACTAGAATTAAATAACAATCTGAATTCCATGGAGAGTTGCCATGCTTTAAGTCATGACTGGACCTGTTCGGTATAAAAATTGATGATGATTGCGTTCTATTTTCAAGGAAAAACATTGATCACCCCCACTGCTTGTATCAAATTAGCAGAAAATCAAAGAATACCCTGATGCTGCCGGTCCCATTTTTCACTTTCCTACAAGTAAGATTTGAATCTGTTCTTCTGCAACTTAACTAAACTTTGCATAAGAAAGGAAGAGATGGGGGCGCCTGGGTGGCGCAGTCAGTTAAGCGTCCGACTTCAGCCAGGTGACGATCTCGCGGTCCGGGAGTTCGAGCCCCGCATCAGGCTCTGGGCTGATGGCTCAGAGCCTGGAGCCTGTTTCCGATTCTGTGTCTCCCTCTCTCTGCTCCTCCCCCGTTCATGCTCTGTCTCTCTCTGTCCCAAAAATAAATAAACGTTGAAAAAAAAAATTTAAAAAAAGAAAGGAAGAGATGGACAGAACTGGAGGAATGGAAGAAGATAGGCAATGACTAACCAGACAGTGTGTACCCCTAAAGAATACCTAAAGGCATTCTGATCCAAATTTAAATAAAAAACTGTTTTGGCTCAATGCATACATTCACACATCCATTCACACAAACGTTCATAAAGAGGTGTGTGCAGTCCTGTGGGCCACCAGTTTTTAACACTTGGTACAGAGAAAAAAAAAACAAACTGGGATCAGCTCCTTGTGAATGACTGACTACAGGAAAACGAGAGAGAAGGAAGAGTCCAAGATGATTTCAGAGTTTCCCTCCTGAGTAAATAGAGTGATCCAAGAATGGGGACACTTGGTGACAGTAAGTGGCTAAGATTAGGACTCCAATTTTAGATGGATTTTTCAACTTGAGGTTAACAGGTCACTCAGCAGAAATTTTCAACAGGCATTTGGAGATGTAGAAATAAAGCTCAGGAGTTTATGTCTGTAACACTTTCTTTTCTGTTTTGTTAAAAAAAAAAATGCATTTTCTTGTGCTTTGGATTGAGCAGCTTGATTCAAGTTCCTCATTTCTACTTTTTTCTGGAGAAAGCTGACTCAGCATCATACTCACCCCAGTCTTTACTCAATTCCATAGAGAAAAGGAACACTAGGCTTTACAACAAATACATTAAAAGAGTAAATATCAAATTTTATTACTGAGTTCATTCCATATTTTGAATTGGAACTCTCATAGGGAAATGTCAGAAATGGACTAAATCATATATAAGTTTTAAAGAAACCAATAATCCAGATAATATTTATTAAAGTTGGGGGGGGGGTACCTGGGGGGTTCAGTTAAGCTTCCAAGTTCGGCTCAGATCATGATCTCTCGGGTTTGTGAGTTCGAGCCCTGTGTCAGGCTCTGGGCTGCTTCAGATTCCGAGTCTCCCTCTCTCTCTGCCCCTCCCCCGCTCTCACTCTTCTCTCTTCCTCTCAAAAATAAATAAGCATTTAAAAATGTATATATATTTATTGAAGTTGGGATTTTTAAGACATTTCACATAAATGCTAATGAGCAAAAGAGACAAACAGATAAACATGATTATTTATGCATTGTTCTAGCTTCCTAAACATTAATTTTGACTGCATGAGAGCTGACGATAAGATGCTGGAATTTAACCACTAAACCACATAATCGATTGTAAGAGCTTTCTTTATCAAAACTGCAGCTAGCTTTGACAATAGTAATTAAACTAAGTAGCTTCTCTCTTTCACACACACACACTTCACTTTGTGAAGAGTCAGACTTGGAATATTACATTTTAAAACTCAAGAATTTATTACATTAAAAAATTTGGAGTTTGTCCTATTCCGTGAGAATAATAACACCTACCTTTTTCCGTTTCAACAGGGTATTATGAAAATATCAAGAACGCTATTTGTAAAAATACTTGACATCACTTAGAAGGAAGTAGCCTATAAATCCTAGGCACTCTTAACAAAACACCAACTTCCTAAGAAACCATAGTTAGGAGTCCTGAGCTTTCCTTTCCTCCAGAGTAACCTTCCCACTCAGGTGAATTAGCTTTTCCTCTTTTATTCTCTCATTGAACCTCACCTGTGTCATCAGATTTCTTCCTTGTACTACAGTGGTTGGGGTTCTAATCTCTATCAGAGAAAGGGAAATGCCATAAGCTCCATGGGGGCCTACAAAATGGTTTTTCTATATATCCTCCAAAGTTCCCAATAGAGTATAATAAGCTCTTAACACTGTTTTTGAATTAAATTTATAAGAAAATATATATAATAAAAATAAAACAAGCTGATTGCCTTTTTAGCCTTGGGCTATAAAACTGAAGTTACTTTCCAAAGAAAAATCTCTATTTATAGATAAAATATGTTCTTTTTCACCCCAATAGAATATAAGCTCTGAAGAGCAGGGATATTACTGGTTATTTTCCAAAGTGCAAATGGAAGGCATTTAACATGTTTGTTGAGAAAATGAATGAATGCATGAATGAATGAGCACATTTTTGAAAGCACACTAAGATTTTGTCAATATTTTTAAATCAAACCCAAATATTCAACAGTTTATTTGTATACAACACAAACATTGAAACAGGATGTAAAGCAGAATTGAAGACCCAAGCCAAGGGAGAATGATTAGTAGGAAGGGGATTCTCGATTAGCTAACATAAGAAATGAAAGAACATTTAGTGATAGCCTGGCAGCTAAGAATAATTTCAAGAGAGGATTAATAGTTAATCAACCTTTGGCACTCATTCATTAAAAAATTACTAAGTGACTGGTGTTTATATTCTAGAACAGTGTGTCTTAATTTTTTTTTTCTTTTCATTACTGCCCCCCCCAAGCCTTTTTAGACATTGTTTTTCTGTTTGTCCCCTCCTGTGAAATTTTAATACTATATATCTGTTTATGTATACCTGTTCTTCATCCATTTAAAAAGGTAAGACTTGGGGCGCCTGGGTGGCGCAGTCAGTTAAGCGTCCGACTTCAGCCAGGTCACGATCTCGCGGTCCGGGAGTTCGAGCCCGGCGTCAGGCTCTGGGCTGATGGCTCGGAGCCTGGAGCCTGTTTCCGATTCTGTGTCTCCCTCTCTCTCTGCCCCTTCCCCATTCATGCTCTGTCTCTCTCTGTCCCAAAAATAAATAAAAAACGTTGAAAAAAAATTTTTTTTTAAAAAAGGTAAGACTTTTAAAATTTTTTTTTCATTCCTTTAGAACCAATTTTCACACCTTGGGGCAATAATACCTCCATTGAAAATACTTGCATTCCTAAACTCTAGAATAGCATTTCTCGGGGCGCCTGGGTGGCGCAGTCGGTTAGGCGTCCGACTTCAGCCAGGTCACGATCTCGCGGTCCATGAGTTCGAGCCCCGCGTCAGGCTCTGGGCTGATGGCTCAGAGCCTGGAGCCTGTTTCCGATTCTGTGTCTCCCTCTCTCTCTGCCCCTCCCCCGTTCATGCTCTGTCTCTCTCTGTCCCAAAAATAAATAAACGTTGAAAAAAAAAAAAAAATTTAGAATAGCATTTCTCAAATTAGATTCCAAAAATGTGTCCTGGGGAATCTGAGAAACTATTTTTATTTAAGAAGATTTCATTACCAAGTTTAAGCAACACTGGTCCAAAACCAACATAACAACTAACATTGGTAGTGCCTACTATACAATACTGTTATAACCCGAGTCCTTTATGCGGATCAAGTATCTCCAAGGGTTTATCCCACAGTGGTTAACCTCCAGACAATCGTCTGTTCCGTTGTATTATATAAAGATAGTAATAATAATTGCATCATATTATTACAGTTCATCTAGTCCAAATCCATGCTTTCACAGTTAAAGACACTGACAAGGAATGATTACGTATGATTCATGATTCGTGCAAGGGACTCCAGCTGTAATGATTTGCGTTTTGCCCTGTTTGGTTTGTTTTTTTGCTTCTTTAATTTTGTTCCTACTACCTTACATTGCTTTTCCTTAACAGATTAAAGGTTTAGGTCCATCCCAATACAGCCACAATTATGTGGACCTGATTTGTGTCAAGCTGCATATCAAATTGTGATACAAGGGGAAAACTTTCTATACAATTTACTAGAAACAAATAAAATCACTTATTGAATAAAGACGGCTCAATTGTACTTCCCAACTGACAGTTTCCTTCATAACTAATTTTAAAAGGAAGTAGGGGGCGCCTGGGTGGCGCAGTCGGTTAAGCGTCCGACTTCAGCCAGGTCACGATCTCGCGATCCGTGAGTTCGAGCCCCGCGTCGGGGTCTGGGCTGATGGCTCAGAGCCTGGAGCCTGTTTCCGATTCTGTGTCTCCCTCTCTCTCTGCCCCTCCCCCGTTCATGCTCTGTCTCTCTCTGTCCCAAAAATAAATAAACGTTGAAAAAAAAAATTAATAAATAAATAAATAAATAAGGAAGTAGAAATAAAACAACACAACACAAAAAAGCAAAAAATAAAGTGGGATGTGAGCAATGAAATATTGAAGAATATAAAATTACTTACGTACTTGAATGTGCTTTGCAGAAAACACTACTTTTATTGTCACTTCAAAATTGAGATTATAAACCTAATGTTTATTAAATAAAAAGAGAAAGGGAAAATGTAACTGAAAATTATTTTCCCAGTTTAATTATTTTTGTGTTTTGCCAGAATTACAATGTTGTAACCTAAATTTAAGAAAAGATAAATATCTTTAGTAACACAAAATTAATAGTTAGATCCAATTCAAATTGTCCTATGGATATGAACGTTAACGTCATGAAATAAAACGTTTCCTGAAAGCTGGTACCAAAGTAAATAAAGCTTATAATTATTTTATTTTAAATTTATTGTATTATTTGTAGTTTAAAAGTAATGAAGAAAAAATTTAAGAACCAAAATTTACATTTATTTCAGGTCACTTCAGCGGAACTTAATAAGAAAGCTTCCTCCTGATGGCTTCAAGAAGTACCATCACCTTCAGAAGCTGTAAGAAAAAGTTTAATCCCCAGTATTTAATTCACTAACATTGTTTTGGCATGTCTGTTTCTTCTTACATCTGTGGAGACCAACACTGTTCCGGTGCTTAAGTCTAATTCCTCTTCAGGAAATTATTTAGCTGTTAGCTCAAGACTACCAGGTAACTTTTTTTTAGAGGTTCTAGAGGCCATTCTAGAAAAACCTCAGATACTTATTCCCAAAGAAACTAGAGCATATGAGCTATTACTTCTCCTGCCACACACTAGACTGTGAAGAACTTTCTTGCATATGTTTGCAAATTCGGTCTCCAACTAAGAGAGCAAGTCATGGTGGTTTGATACCCCAGAGCATGTTGTCTGGGGGACTTAATTCCATTTTCACATCTGCCATGTAGGTTGAGTTTTCTTTTGGCCTCAAGTAGTATCTGACATGCTAGATTGCCATCAGTTTAGCATTTGCATACATACTCCAAAAATCCATAATGGCCCGGGTTATGTTTACCTAATATCTAGGCCAACTTTGTGACTAAATCATATCACACTTGAACTGCTGGGTTTAAATATCTTGTTCATGAATCACGCTATCTAGAAAAGATCTCAGAATTCTTCATTTCATTTTCATACCTATGTTGCTTTTGATTCTGGTTTTATACTGAAGAAACCTCACACATAGATGTATATCTGTATATTCTTCTTTAAGATAACAAATATGAGGCATGTGGGTGGTTCAGTCAGGTAAGTGTCTGACTCATGATTTCAGCTCAGGTTATGATCTCAGGGTTCATGAGTTTGAGCCCCACATCAGGCTCTGTGCTGACAGTGCAGAGCCTGCTTGAGATTCTCTCTCTCTGCCTTTCTCCCACCGTATACACTCTCTCTCAAAAATAAATAAATAAACATTTAAAAAATTAAGATTAAAAAATAGAAAGCAACATCAGAAGAAATATTAATCTACTTCATTAGATGAAATGTACTCAAAACCCAGATAATCTGAAAAAAAAGTATGTTTCATACTTAAAAATAAAAATTTCAATAAAAATTACTTTCAAAACTTTATTCTGGATGTTCAGCAATCAGCAGAGAAGAGCCTTTCAAAATTAGGCATTATATAAAATCTTCAAGAGGATGCTTCTGTATTCTATTTCCTGATTTTTGGAGTATGAAGAGTTTTTCTGATCTGTAGCACCACCTTATGTCCACATGTTTAAAAGGAATTAGGGGGGCGCCTGGGTGGCGCAGTCGGTTAAGCGTCCGACTTCAGCCAGGTCACGATCTCGCGCTCCGTGAGTTCGAGCCCCGCGTCAGGCTCTGGGCTGATGGCTCGGAGCCTGGAGCCTGTTTCCGATTCTGTGTCTCCCTCTCTCTCTGCCCCTCCCCCGTTCATGCTCTGTCTCTCTCTGTCCCAAAAGTAAATAAAAAACGTTGAAAAAAAAAAAAAAATTTAAAAGGAATTAGGGCTTCAAATTTAAATATCAAAATTCAGGTTTATGTAATGGTAGTTTAGCATTTTTCCATAATAAACATTTTAGCAATTTTTTTAAGATTTTATTTTTAAGTAATCTCTACACCCAACCTTACACCCACAACCCCAAGATCAAGAGTCATATGCTCTACTGACTGAGGCAGCCAGGAGCCCCAAATTAATTCTCAAATAGCCAATTTGTTATACCTAATAGATCAAAATAGCCTAATTACAAAAAAAAAAAAAAATTCTACCTGGTTATTAGAGATAAGCTTTGCTCAACCTCCACACAATACAGTCTATTGCTTAGCAGATTATTAAAATAGTTAGAAACAAATAATACATGCTAAAGTTTCTCTGTGTATTAGTGAGGAAGATGCATCCCCTATTATGTGATTGGAACCATAACATGTTCTGTGAAATTGTTATATGCACAATAAACTTATAGTTTAACATAACTTATTGTGTAACATCGTACAAAGTTAGGTTTTCTTGCATGTTGCAGAAATAGAAGATCTTTTTTAGTCAAAATTTCTAATTAACTAAGAATTTGTTCATATTGGTTTCTTCCTTATTGCTCCTAATATTTATAAATATATATATATAAACTTCAGAGTACCCTCAAGGACAACGATGGCCTATACTCAGAACAGGAAGTCAGGCTCAAAGCCTTACCTTGTCATTCCCTACAATCTGGGGCCAGTGCACGCAGAAATGCAAAGCTTTACAAGGATGCAGTTGATGCAATTTCTTGTGCTCTGGTCTCTGTTTCCTTTGACCTCCAATTAACACAGGCCAATCTAGTTAATTATATAAAACTACATTCTTGTCTTGACATGCTAGTCTAATTTATATTCTTCTAGTCTTTATTTTTATTCCTTTTTTTTCTTTTGTCATAAATACTTCTTATAAGTTTCTTCAAACACTTTTTAAAGCAAGACTTGGAGTGTCAAATTAATGAAATTGGAGCTGACTTGCTTAGCAGATTTGTGATTAACATGGAATATGATTTGGGGCCTTAAAGGTGTCACATTTTGTACTTTTGCCAGCACTATGCTAAACACCTATATTTCCATTATAGCAGGAAATGTTAAAAAGTCTGACTTCTGAGCCTGTTTGATAAGTGAGTGCCTTACTGTGCATTAAAGTTTCACTTATAGAAAATTCAAGGGGAGGAGTTAAATGGTGGAGCAGTAGGAAGACCCTCTGCTTGCCTCATCCCTCAAACACAGCCAGATAAATATCAAATCATTCTGAGCACCCAAGAAATCGATCTGAGGACTGAGACAGCAAAACTGCACAAGTAGAGGGAGAAAAACAGCCGCATCATGGAAGTTAGTTGCTGCAGAGAGTTGATTTGGGGGAGAAAAGAATTGCAAGGGCTGCAGAGGGGTAGGAGCCCTGATCACGGAGAGAGGAGAGAGATAAAGAGAGAGAGAGAGCATGAAAGCAGTGAACAGGGGATTGCACAAGAAAAACTCTTCCCCAAAACCATTGACTCGGAAAAGGAGAGGGGCTGACAATCACAAGTTTTTATAAGTAGTGGAGCTCAAAATCTAAAGTTTTAGAAGTCTGTGAAATCACCACGGTCATTCCTAGTGGGTTTAGTGGTGCTCCTGTGGGGAAAGAGGGCAGAGGCTCAGGAGCAGACAGCATGCTCTGAGGATCCCCTAGGTCACACAGGGAGAAATAGTTCTGCTTGGAGTGCATTTGGGAGAGGCAGCACTGCCTCTCAGGGGACAAAAGAGAAGGTGGGCATCATTGAATGTTCCCATTAATTAGCATAGCAGCAGAGGCACTTACAGAAGGTAGCTAACCTAGAAGCCAGCTTTTGGGTGTGCTTTGTCATAAACTCCTAGCCCCCACAGTCGTGCATCTGCTTTTCTGGGAAAAACCAGCACCAGCTACAGTGTGGCAAGACCCTCCTCCGGAGGATCAGCGTGGGTCTGTGCTATACTGCGTCCCTGAACTTGGAGCTTTGAAACTCACTCACATGCCTGAGATAAAACACAGGAGTACTGTGCTGCCAGAAGAATAGACGGCTTGGAAACAGAGAGGATGAACGCAGGGTTTCTGATGGAAGAAGCCTGAGACACAAGAGAGGAGACTGTTTGCTCTTCTGTAAAGGTTTCCTGAACAGCAACAGGCATGAACTCCCCTCTCTAGAGATGACAGCGTGGGGGATGCCATTTTCCCTCTGCCCATCAGCACTTCTGTGAGCAACACAGCACCCCCAGCTTACACTAAGCCTCATCCCAATATGTCCTGCGGGGTCATCTTTACAAAGGCAAGTCTGCCTGAGAACCAGTTCAGCAGGCCTCTCCCCCAGAAGACTAGCACAAACCCCCCTGCAAATACCAAGTCCACTGATCATAGAGTGTGCAAAGCCTCAGCTCTGGGGGATATAGGATCTAGCCTTTTTTTTTTTTTAATGTTTATTTTTGAGAGAGAAAGAGAGAGAATGAGTGGCGGAGGGACAGAGAGAGGGGACAGAGGATCCAAAATGGGCTCTGCACTGACAGGCTGACAGCAGAGAACCCAATGTGGGGCTCAAACTCACGAACTACAAGATCATGACCTGAGCTGAAGTTGGAAGCTTAACCAACTGGGCCACCCAGGCACCCCAGGATCTAGCCTTTTCTAACAAGCAGACCAAAACATCTCTAGTTAAAACACGCCAAACACTGGACCAGGTCCAAATACTCCACACTGCAGGCAGGGAGAAACTCTGCAGAGGACTGATCTAAGAGAAAGAGCAGCCAAATCACAATAGCAGAAAGCACAGAACATAACACCAAAAAAAATGTCCTGAAGTACCAGGCCGTGGACAGTATGACTTCTTCTTAATATAACCATTACTCTCAGAAGCAGGAAACAAAACAGGTTTTCCTAACATACAGTAGACAGAGGTCTAGGCAAAGGCCAAGATGGACGACTTCATCCAAAAAGAAAAACTGGAAGATGTAATGGGCAGGGATCTAATCGAAACAGATATAAGTAATATGTCTGAACCAGAATATAAAGCAACAATCATGAGTATACTAGCTGGCCTTGAGAAAAGCATAGAAGAAACCAGAGAGAACCTTACCACAGATATAAAAGAACTAAAAACTAGTAAGGCCTAATAAAAAAAATGTTATAACCGAGATGCAAAACTGACTGGATGTAGTGACAACAAGGATGGATAAAATGGAGGAATGAATCCATGATATAGAAGATAAAATTATGGAAAACAATGAGGCTGACACGAAGAGGAAAAAAAAGATATTGGATCACAAATGTAGACTTAGGGAACTCAATGATTCCATTAAACATAATAGCATTAGTGTCATAGAGGTCCCAGAAGAAGAAGGCAAGGAAGAGGGGGCAGAAGGTTTGTTTGAGCAAATTATAACTGAAAACTTCCCTAATCTGGGAAAGGAAATAGACATTGAAATCCAAAAGGCACAGAGAACTCTCATCAAAATCAACAAAAGCCAGCCATCACTAAGACATATTATAGTCAAACTGACTATACACAAACAAGGACAGAATCTGGAAAGCAGCAA